TCCCTCCCTCCCTCCCTTCCTTCCTTCCTTCCTTCCTTCCTTCCTTCCCCCAGCTTTCTATCTCATCTCAGCTTCATTCAGGTCAGCCTTGCTAGATCTCTGACTGTTACTAGCCCAATTGTGAAGCAAGCTGTCCAAGAGGTAAGGAGTTCACTGAGGGCATTCAGCTTACTATCAAGAGTCATCTCAGTTTACTATCGAGAGTCATCCGTTTGTCAGGGTGTCTGGTGGTGTCCATGGTGGAGGAGATCTCTTCACAGATAACTGATGGTCTCAAGGACCCCAAGGATTCCCACCTATAGTTCTGCCCATGCAGGGGTATATTTCATTTTCTCTGTTGTTTAGGAGAACATTCCCTTTTCATGCCTGATGGACAACTTGATGTTGAGATCTGCGGCTGTGGTATACCCACTGAGTTCCTGTATCGTTTTCTTTGACTTCCAGGGCCCTTCTGGATCCTAGGAGTCCACTGTACCATCTGGCTTGATAGGTCCCAGGTCAGAAACTCTGCTTCAATAGCTTGTCCATTCCTTGTTGGAGAGATTAAAGGACTTCACCTGTACCTTTTCCAATACAGACTGACAAATATTCCTAGGTAGAAGCCACAAGGAGTGGTGCCATGGCCGGGGCAGGGGGGGGTTGGCTAATAATGTTTTATGATAAAGGGTAGCATATTGTCACAAAGAAGGAAAAGATACTAATCCTGGAAATAAGGTCATACAAACAATAAGTATCCATGGAACACCAGTCATGGGCACTAATTTCAAATCTGTGAGATACGATCCTGTTGTTCTCTTAGTATGTATGTTTCAGCACTGCTTTTGAGATTGGGGGGGCGTGGTCTTTGGTTGTTCAGCTGCTCTAGAACTTGCTACATAACTGAAGATAACCTTACAATCTTCATCTTCCTGCTTCCTCCTTTTAGTTTACATGGTGCTGGAATCAAACCCGGGCTTTGTGCATGCCAGTCAAGAGCCCTCCTAACTAAACCATATCCCCAGCATCTAAGATCTGCATTTCTATAGGGCTATACTTACAGTTGAGAGCTTCCTCCCCTCGCCCCAATTATGTTCAGAAGGAACAAAATAATTTAGGTTCAAGCTCTCCCAGCCTGTAGGTTTTTCTGGGTCCACCTTGTCAGATGGATCTGGTTACAAGTGTCGACATCGGTTTAGCTAACCTAACTTTTAAAGGGATTTAGCAGGGACTTCATCTCCACCTGGAGTCCAGACCACACTTGGAAAAAGGCATCTCCAGAGGAGCAGAAAGCAAGTGTCTGCAAAGGCACAGCTAGAGGGTCTACCAGCTCTTAGGGACTTCTGCCTGTGAATCACTGTACTCTAGACAGGGAATTGTGGGGAAGGAGTCTGAGCTGCCGTCTTTGGTTGAGGGAGGGCAGGGCACCTTGACCTACAGTCCTGCTAAATTTAATTGCTCCCTAGGGAGTGGACATGTCCCTGGATGCAGATAAAATAGAAACCAGTGTCCTCACAGCAGCTCTTATGGTGGCTGAGGGAATTGCCCATCCCCACAAAGGAGATTGAAACAGGGCATACTGTGACTCTGAGGTGGGATAGCATATTCTAGAAAAGAAGATTATGGCTAGTGTGAGAAAAGAAGCAAGGTACAGACATGTGTTAAGGAATGAACATTTAGAGAAACAACATGGTCCCCCCCCCCCCCACACACAGTGGTTGTAGCACTGCCCATGGGCTAATGGGATGCTTCCCAGTCCAATGTGGATCCAAGGTAGGGGGCAGACTTCCTGTCAAGGGCTACCTATTAAATTCTTTAGGTTTTATAAACCATATAATCCCTGTTGCAACTCTTCAACTCCACCATGGGAGTGTGTAAACTCCCTCAGGCATACAGTCATAGATGACTGTGTGGTGTGGCTGTGGTCCAGTAAGACTTTATTTATAAGAACAGGCAGTGGTGGAATTTGGCCAAGAGGCTTGACCTTGTTGAGCTCTGGTCTGGGAAGGTGTTTTTTTTTCCCCCTGCTATAGCTTGGTGAGCCTGTTCCAGGTGAGTTAATGGTTTCTTTAGGAGCAGAGTCTTTGGGCATGCTGGTGGTGAGCCCTGAAGAGATGCCTGATGCAAAAGAAAGATCAGGGAACTGTCTGAAAGGTGGCTGAGTTCACAGCCTGGCTCAACTACTTCACTATGAGGGACAGCTGCCAGACTAGACCTTCCTGGGCCTGGGTTTCTTCCCTTCTGAAGTGAGAATATAACTAAGATGTTCCTTATGTTTGTTATTTAAGGAACGTAGCATATGGAAATTTTGGATGCGAAGAGAATGGTCGTTGCTGAGAAAATAGTCTGATCTGCTCCAGAAGGCTGCATGCCATGACTGGGAGGGGTGATCTGCAAGATGGCATCTTCACAGGACTTCAGGCCCGGGGACTGACATCAGGGGATACCCAGGACAACCTCCCAGAGCCAGAACCAAGATAGAGGTCCTCGCTTTCCTGACTTCTGGGCATGCCAGGCTGCGTGGATGGAGTGCTTCTCTTACCTCTTCTGGTAGCAATGCTATTTTAACTGGATTTTTCTTGACTGTGGACACTGAAAAGCTGAGGAAGGGGTGGCGGAACTGATTTGCTATAGGCCGGGACTCCAGAAGAAAGGTATAATAATAGTGGTGGAATAATAACAGTAACAATGGTGACATAGAATATACAGCTGGAGGGGCCGGGGAGATGGGACGGTGGTCAAGGGTCCTCTTACAGAGGACCCTTGTTGGATCTCAGCACCCACAAGGGGTGGCTTACAGTCTCCTGTGACTCCAGCTTCAGGGGGTCAGTTGCCCCTTGAGGTGTGGTACACATACACTCATCTAGGTGTACATGCATACATACATGATTTTAAAGAGATAGATTTATGGGGAGGGAGAAAGACAGGGAGGAGAGCTTTTATTGCAGTGGGCTCACCATTCCCTCACCAGCTAGGCTCCTGCTAGCTCCAGCTCTGACCTGTGAGGTTGAGAATGCCCAATCTCTGCTCTTTAAATTCGGGTCAAGCCTTCATCTGTGAATTCTCACTCTTCTATGCTCCTTCCTTACTGCTGGGGATTTTTTTTTTTAAATAGTCTTTTCTATTTTTAGAGACAGAACTCATCTAAGAAGAGGCGTGATGACATAATTCTAGAAACAGAATCAGTGTGCTTCTCAAACCTGTTTTCTGCATAAAGTCTGCATTTCTGTGTGTTTCCTGCTCCTTCCTCTTCTATCCAAACAGAGTTATTCTGGACTTTGTCACATTTCAAAGACCAGTGTGTAGTGGTGGGACTCAGTGCAATGGGAAGCTGGTACTGTTATTGTCATCGATGATGTTTTTCATCTCATTTTTTAAAAAAATTGAGGTGAAGTTTACATAGCATAAAATCAACGCATTTTTGAGTGCATCATCCAGTGGCATTTAAGATCTTCCCAATTGCCATTGTCAAGCAACAAAACCCTGCCCAAAAAAGCCACTCCTATTTTCCCCGCATGCGCCACCAACGCCTGGCAACAACATTGTCCTTTTTGTTTTGTTTTGTTTTTTCTTTTGGTTTTTCAAGATAGGGTTTCTGTGTAGCTTTGGAGCCTGTCCTGGTACTTGCTCTGTAAACCGTGCTGGCCTCCAACTCACAGAGATCTGCCTTCTGTGTGCTGGGATTAAAGCCGTGCACCACCACTGCCCGGCTTTTTGCTATTTCTTATAAATGGGATCAAACTATGATATTTTATGTCTGAGGTTTTTCACTTTAGCATGATGTTTTGAAAGGTTCATCCATCTTGTAGCATGTGTTGGTACTTCACTGTGTTTTATAGTTGAATAATATTCCACTAAATTACATGTATATAGCTGGGCATAGTGGCACATGTCTCTAATCTCAACACAGAGAAGACAGAGGCAGATAGATTTCTGGGTGTTTGAGGCCAGCATGGTCTATATAGTGAGTTCTAGGTCTGCCAGGGCTATATAGTGAGGCTCTGCCTCTCTCTCCAAAAAAAGTGTTTATCACAGTCTATCCATTCACCTGTTGATGGATTTTTTAAAAATTTTATTTACTTTTATTTCATTTGTGTTGGTATTTTGCCTGCACATATGTCTGTGTGTTGTAAGTTGCCCTGTGGGCACTGGGAATTAAACCCAAGTCCTCTGAAAGAGCAGTCAGTGCTCTTACCTGAAGAGCCATCTCTCCAGCCCCTGTTGATATATATATTTAGTTTATAGGCTTATATGAATAGAAGCACCATTCATATTTATGTACAAGTACCTTTTTGGATGCCTGCTTTTAGCTGGGTATACACTCCAGAAGCAGAATTACTAGGTTGCATGGGAGTTCTAGGTTTAATTTCTTGAGAAACCACCCAACTGATTTCCCATAGCAGTTGCACCGCCAGCAACTTGTACTCGCTCCAAGATCTCTACACCCGTGCCAGCAAGTATTTGTAGATAAATTCTTCAGTAGAACTCAAACTGTCAATCTCATCATACTCCCCTGCTCTATACTCCTGACCACTTAACTTTCATGACAGTCTCAATTCATTCCTAGGGTCCAACTTAGCACCTGTAGCACGAATTCTAATTGTTCTTAATAATAAAAACTCAGAGTTGGATATTGGGGTTAATGCTAAAGATCAGAGAGGCAAAGAGGCCAGCCACAAGACAGTTCTCAACTCTACCAATGCTCAGACCAAAGTGGTGATCTTGTCCTCAAACTGCATCCTCAGACTGCTTAGACTGCACTGCTCCTCAGACTGCATCTCTCTCTTGTCTCCCCTGCCTTATATTCCTCTCTGTGCCCAGCCATCACTCCCGTCTCCACCTCCTTAGTGATGGGATTAAAGGTGTGTCACTCCAAGTGCTGGGATCACTTTTGTGTGAACTCTGTTTCTCTTTTAGACTGGATTGATTTTGTGTAGCCTAGGGTGGCCTTGAACTAACAAAGACCTATCTTCTGAGTGCTAGGGTTAAAGGTGTGTGCCACCACTGCCTGGCCTCTATGGCTAACTAGTGTGGTTAGCTTTGCATTCTGATCTTCAAGCAAGCTTTATTTGCTAGATCATAAACAAATCATCACCACAGCATCTTTGTGTAAAAGTATGTTAGTAACTCTGCTCACTCTTAGGGGACACGATTTTTTCACATGTTAAAAAAAATTATATGAAAGTCAAGTTTAAAGGAGAGAAAAATGGCTTTCATTGTCACTGGGTATGAGAAGCTGTATCCTTCCTTCTGGGGCATGTGAGGTTGGTATAACTTTTGGTCCTGTGTGGGGCTGGATACACCAGCTTCACCCTCATGGACAAGCTTTCTTGAAGGACCACACCAATTATATTAGTTCCTTGTCTTTGAAAAAATTTGTGTGTGTGTGTGTGTGTGTGTGTGTGTGTTGGTTCTCTTCTTCTGTCATGCATCTGGAGATCGAACTCAGGCCGTCAGACTTACCTTCACCACCTGAGTCATCTTGTTGACCTTAGTTACTTGTCTCATTGCTTTCATAAAATACTCGATGAAAGTAATTTAAGAAAGAAAGGTTTATTTTTTCCTTATGGTTCTAGAGAATGCTGCCTGTATTAGTCAGGGTTCTCTAGAGTCAAAGAACTTATGGAGTGAATCTCCCTCTATGTATGTATAAAGAGAATTTATTGGAATGACTTACAGGCTGCAGTCCAGCTAGTCCAATAATGGCTAGCTGTGAATGCAAAGTCCAAGAATCTAGCAATTGATCAGTCCTATGAGGCTGGGTATCTCAGCTGGTCTTCTGTGTATGCTGGAATCCCCCAAAAGCAAGCTCCAATGCCAGTGAAGGAATGGATGTGCTAGCTAGGTGAGGGCAAAACAAAACCTTCCTTCTTCCTTGTCATTATATAGATTTCCAGCAGAAGGTGTGGCCCACATTGAGGGTGTGCCTTCCCACCTCAAGATCCTGGTCAAAAGCCTGTGTCTTCTTGCCTCAAGGTCTGGATCACAGGTGTGCCCTCCATTTCTGGATTGTAGTTCATTCTAGATAAAGTCAAGTTGACAACCAAGAACAGCCATCAATCACCCTGTCCATCATGGCAGGAAAGGAATTGTGGCAGGATCAAGTGTGGTTGGTTACATTGCAACCACTGTCAGGAGGCAGACAGATGAACACTGGCGCTCAGCCTGCTTTCTCCATTTTATTTTGTCTTAGGCTCTAGCCCATAGAATGGTACTGCCCATATTTGGGGTGAATCCTCTTCCTCAGTTAACCTGATCTAAGTAATCCCTCACAGATAGCCCTGAGATTTGTTTCCACGGTGACCCTAAATCGCATTAAGTTGACAACTGAGATTAGCCATCACACCAACTGTTCCAGATTCTTGTTGTTTTTTAAGGCCCCTGAGGGACAGTCTGTGCCTTTAGGCACCTGAGGATGCTCCATTTCCACAGTGGACGCCTTTGGATTTCTACTTGCCGTGATTCCCACTCCAGAAAACTTTACTCAGGTGGCTCATTTGGCCCAGAGGGATGAGAACACCAGACTTCACTGTGACAGTCTGCAATGCTGGCGGGATGACAGATGGCTGAGGTTGGCAGGGACTTTACTGTTCCCTGTTGCCATCTGCATGACCTTTCCAGCTAGCAAGGCCGTCTTCCCTCACATACCATTCCTCTTTGCCAATGGGTCAAGGCCAAGGTGAACAGTGTATGTAAGTCCCGGTTCCAAACACTTAGGAGATGCATCCCTCTAACTTATGTCATTAGTGAGTTTTCCCAATCTCTCTTTCAAAATTAAAAGCATTGAGATGTTTAACTATATTTAAAACTTGGAAATAAGATAAAAACGGAAAACATGTCTTTTTTTGTATCATATAGAGGACAGGGCTGGAGATGTGGCTCAGTTAGTAGTATGCTTGTCTAGTGTTCATGAAGCCCTCTGGGTTCAGACTCCAGCATCCCACAATGGAGCATAGTGGTGCATTCCTGAGTTCAAGTTTAAGAACATCCTTAGCTACATATTGAGATTGAGGGCCAACCTGGGATACATGAGGCCCAAAGTCCTGGATTTGATTACCAAAACTCTCCCTAAAATCGTATGGTGCTTAGATTTAGCAGGCCTAACAAATGAGTACTTTATTATGCAGGCAGGAGAATAAATCTTGTTCAGCACTGTTATTGCTATTAATTAAAGCTTCCAAGTGTATGGAGGTTATATTTTAACATGTAGATTATTTTCAAACATTTTGCTTAGTGGAGAAAAAACCCTAAAGATCATTGTTCTGTACTATTATCCAGTTTAGGATACAGCCTTTAATTGTGATCTAACAGTGATCAAAAATACTTTGAAGGACATAAATCCTCTGAGCATGGCAGTCTGTGACCTCTGTGCATTTTATATTTGTATAAATGTATGAGTCATGTCTTAAATGTTTGTTTTGACAACATTTTTAGATGATTCTATCAAAAACGTAGGAGTGGGATGTGGGAGGGATAAGATTGGATCACAGCCAGCATCTACGCAGGGGTTGTGTCCTAGGGGACAGACATCATCTACTTTCCTAGACTGGATAGCTGTGGATTCATTTGGTGGCATTAGCATCACAGAACCCTGGGACATGGGGATCCTGACTTTGGGTCTGTGATTCCAGGGTATTTTGAAGCCTCCCTTTCC